ACATATTAAAAAATAGAAACAAAAAAAGAATATTAATTTTTACTAAAAGCTAAAAAATCAAATTTATTATAAGGATCAAAATCACATATAATAAAATTTTAGCATTTATGATAGGGATAAAAATCAAATATAAGAAAATTTTACTGACCAAAATAAAAAAAAATAGAAAGAAGGGACAAAAATGAAAACCAATTTCCTATGCGAGCAAATGCGAGTCCGAAACAAAAAAAAAAAAAAAAAAGGCACGCACATCGGGCCTAGCTTTCGACGAATTGAGGTCGTTAGAATCTTCGTCAAAAAATCGTGAATCAAGTTTTAGATCTCTAGAAATTGAATTTTGGCATCATTGTTTCCCCAAACACCTCTAAATGATTGGAATAAAGTCAATACATATATCTAAAATCTTAAAAATTATTTTAATGCACATAAATTTTTTTAAAAAATTGAACAATCAAATCAGAACATTGTTTCCTTTTTTGGCTTTGATGTACCTCATTTAATTGTTTAATGGCTTGAAATAACCATGAACAAAATCATCTCTCAAAGATAAAAAAATCTAGTGGATTTTCGTCGACCAAAGTGGCCTAAATAAGCTTAGCCAGACGATCTCTCTCTCCTTCGTCTCTCTCTTCCCCCTTCCTTCTCTCTCATCCGGGGATCAAAATGAATGAGCAATTGAAGATGTAGATCGAAAGATTCGTTGAAAAAGAGCGAGGGACCAAAGTGTAAAAAAATCAATAAATAGTGAAATATTAGTGCATAAATAGTATTTGGAACGAGTAACCTATTATTTTGTTTTAGTTTATTTAGTTTATTTTAAATAAATGTAAGTGAAATTAAGTGGTTTTATCCCTAAAAAAATATCATAAATAAATGTGCTTAGATGCATCTCATGACTAGATTACTTAATAGGTCGTTTATCAGTCAAATTTTGGCGCCTATTTGAGCTAGATTAGTAGGACAAGTAGAAGTAGGCAAATGAACTAAAAAAAAAATTGAATTATAAATTAGTCCCTTTCTTTTTTTAAAAATAAATTATTATTATTTTTTTATGAGTGTTGTTAACTATATTTAATTTAATATTATTTTATTTAAAAAATATTATTTTTTTCTCGTCAATTGTTGTTAGTTTTTTCACTTATATATTTTTTTCCATTTTCAAAACAAAAAATTAAAAATAAACTACAAAAATTAAGCTAATCTTTTTAGGTATGCTTTAGTTTTGACTTCGAACTAACCCATCACTCTTTTTTTTTTTTTTTTTTTTTTTTTTTTTTTATCTGTCAAAATTCTACACTTTGGACATGTAGAAAATAATAATAATAAAATTTTGAAGTGAGGGGGAAGGTAAGAGAAGAGATGAGGAGTAAATTATAAATTAGTCTATCTTGTTTTGAAAAATGAATTAATTTATATTTTTGATTTCAAAAGTTTTAGTTCTTTTTAACTAGTATTGACTATGACTAATTTATTATTTTTTTATTTTATAAAATGTCTTATTTTTTTTTTATCAAATTTTCTATATTTTTACTTACTTACTTTTTATTCCTTTTCTATTTCTTAAAAAAAAAAAATTAAAAAGTAATAAAAAAGAATAAATAATTAAAATTTGAAACTAGAGAGAATAATTAATTTATTTCTTGAAGTAAGAGGGACAAATTTATAATTTACTCAAAACATAAGAGACTTTTTTTTTTTTTTTGTCTTCTCTTATGGGACAATACACAATTCTTCTTTAAAAAACCACAATTGTTTTCATCTGAATAAATTATAAATTAATCTCTTTAATTTTGAAAAAACAAAATAATTAGCTTTTTTTTGAATTAATTATTTAATTTTTATATTTTTAATTTAATTCTTTTCATTCATTCATTTTCAATTTGTTTTGATTTTTAATTTTTAAAAGTAAAATAAATAAATAAAAGATATGGAAGGAAAGATGAGAAAATGATTTTTAATTATTTGGAATTCAAATTTAATCTCCTTTCATACTTCACGAGCCACAACTAGTTCATGGCTCTATTTGCTAGCCTCACATATAATTTTATTATACTCACGAGTACAAGAATAAAGCATATCTATGCTGTTCTATCATTATAGTTCTTTGAAAGGTAATTATTTTGTTTTTATTTATAAATTTATATTTACGCAGAATCTTTGAAATAGACCTCCTCTCTCTATATATTCCCTGATAGAAGCTGCACAGCCAGTTGGGCTGCAGAAAATCTGGGAGCTTGACCATTGATTATTACTGGGCTTAATTAAATACTACAGTAAGAGAGGAGAATAGGCAGAAACGAACTAGAACTCGGTTTGAGGCGCCATGCTGCTTGGAGAAAATGAATTGATGAATTCATAAAGGATAACATTGCATCACAGCAGCAGGCTTTTAGGAAACAGCTAATACCAAGTTTATAAAAGTTGCAAAGAAACACTTTCGGTTTCTGCTTCCCAACTTCTCATATGATTTCTTTCCACTAGACAAATCAATTGGCATCACTCTTTGTACTTCTCTTATGTCAATTGGGCTGTGCCATAGTCATCAATTATCCTTGTCGTTTCCAGAGTTGTTATTCCAGTGCATGGCTTACCTATATCTTAATATTTAAGAAAATTTATCTGTATCTTGGGCCACATAGCTTAACGAGGTCAAGGTCAGACTACAGATGCAAATCTGATAAGAGTGATAAGTCTCATCCTTTTTTGAAGTAAGAATATTTTTTGGCAGCATCCAAGAAACCTTATGTCTGTGGGAAATCAAGTAATTCACAATGTTTAACAGCGCGTTGTCTATCCCAATTCAACTCCTTCCTTTAACAGAAGCATGAAGAAAACACAAGTTCTATGCCTCCCACTACCTATAAGGTGGACACAGGCCCACTTTTGGCTCTTGATGGAACAGGGTCCCTAAAATTGCTTGATACAAGACGAAATTTGATTAGCTTAGCCGTGTTTTATGAATGATAAAACACACTGATTAATTGGTGCATAAAGATGACCATATTTTTTTGGAAATTATGGAATATTTTCTTTTAATATATATATATATATATATAAAGCTTAATCATATCCATCTACATAGAAGGTAGATCATATATTTAATAGAATTGATTAATATTAGTTGTAAATCAGTTATATATATATCCCTCTTCTTTGCAAAGAAAATATACAGTGAATAATAATTCCAATTTTAATTTTATTCAGTTTTCGTGTTATAATAGCAGGGTTTTTAATTTTTTTTTTTCATAGTTATGACAATTGATTCTATATATCATGATGAGAATGGTTTACTGTCCATCGCGAATATGCCAAATATCATAATTGATATCAAATCTCCATTCTATTTGCATCTTTCAGATCATACAAGTCTAATTTTTGTTACACAAATTTTTAATGAAAATGGAGAAAATGATTTTACTTAGAAAAATGATTTTCTCCATACCCTACAATCTAAAAATAAAGCATAATTTGTAGATGAATTGATACCCAAATCCAATATCAATTCTCGGGATTTCTAGACTTGAATTCAGTGCAATGTAGTGGTCAAATCGTGACTCATTATTTTGATTTTTAAAGAACAACAATCAAGAGCAACTGATGCCTCCACAAAAAGTGAAATTTGGAGCAATTTTGAGAAAATTTTCACTCAGGGCATTGCATTCAGAGTATATAAATTAAAACTACAATTGCTGACGCAGAAGCATCCCTCTCAACTTGGCTGAAAGTTTCTACACTAAGGTGGTCAAAATTTCAGCTACTTATCCTGTTTTATTTTGTTATTATTTTATTTATTTAAGTTATATATTGCTTATTTAAATTATTTTTAATTGTGTGTACTTGGACTAATTAATTAGTCTCCATGGTTTTGAATTTCCTCTTTATTTAGAGACATGGCTGGCATAGATGGGTAAGTGGATCCTTTTGTGTTATAAATCCTTATTTATTTAAAATTTGATATTTAATTTTGAGTCCATTTTATCTATAGATCCATATTTAATTGGGCTAACTTATTTAATTATTAGTTAAATATGGGTTGTATAAGTCCAAGATTATCAGGGAAGAAGAAAAATCTAGCCTAAAGGAGGAAACATAACCCTAGCCACACCTTTTAGGATTTAGGGAGTGAGTATTTAAGCACACTTTGTGCTTCTTTTTACTAAGAATTTTTGATAAAATTTTGAATGAAAAATTAAAGAATTTTATCTATATATCTTTGCATATTTCCTTGAATTGACTAGAAGATTGTAAAATACATCTTTAGAGTGGGCTCAGATTGACAATTGCATCAGGTGAACTCTTGAAAGTATATCTTGTAAGTACTCTCTAAATCATGCTAGATGATGGACTCTCCTCAAGGGCGAAACATAGAGTCTTTCACTTTATTTGTTTGATTGTTAAATTGATGATTGACTTAAATTCTCAAAACTGAACAATTTTGGTCTAAAAAATGATAAACAAAACTAAGGATTTTTTCCCTTTAAAATTTTGAAAGTTTGTTATTAAGGGGTTATTTAACTCTAGTAAAAACACAATATATATATATATTTGATTGGATTTTTGGGTTGTTGAAGTCGTCCTAATTTTGGATTCTATTTTGTTTAATGAAATTGGATTGGCCTAAAATTTAGTATACACATACCTATGGACACTATCCATGTTTGGATAAAATTTCAGCCTATTCTAAGTTGATTTTCTTGAGTAACGCGTTAATCCAATTGGCGAGTTCTGCGATTATTATTTGGTGATTTTGAGATTTTGCTTGTGTTTGTGGGTTTGTTTGTTTGTAAATTGGTTTATAATTGATATATATATATATATATATATTTTTTTTTTTTGAGGTGCTTTTGAGGCTGATTTAAGTCTGGAGTGTTTCGGCCTAAGAGTATTCTTTTAGTGCTTGTCTGTTTGAGCTTCTGTAGGATTCGACATCTCTCAATCTGACATTGGTTTGGTATCAAAGCTGAGGCGAATTTTCGTGTGGAAACACAACCATTGTAGAGATGTCTACTTTTGATATTTTTAATCTTGATTGTGCAGAGATGATTCCTAATATTAATTGGGACTTACCTCCTATTTATGATGTTTGCTCGGATGATTCGTTTAGTGATGTTGATATTGATGGTACTGAAAATATGGTTAAAGATACTGACGAGGGAGATATAAGTGCTGGAATTTTTTACTGCACTGAGGACGACAAAGAGCTTTCTACTGCTGCTATCGATGTTCATGTTTATCACCTCCTATGTTTGGTCAACAAACATCAATTCATGACAATCATGTGGCACATGTTGGTTGGTCATTGTTTAATGAAATTTCTAGTGATTGTGATGGCTTTATATTTGTTACCATTCAGGTGCATGATTACATGTTTAACAGCAAGAAAAATGAGGCAAGGAAGTTATTCATGTGCTTACGCGTTTTAATATGAATTGTTTGGTAAAATATAGAAAAAGAAGAAAAAAGGTTAGGCGGTGGAAATCGTTACTTGTTCGAGTGATGGAAAGGCTGTGGAGAGAAAAATTTAGGGATTTGATACTTGTAATTGTGACCCTGTTCAGTGCTGCTATAAGCCAACTATTTACGGTCGTGACACTTGTGTTGTTGAGATTGTTAGGAAGTTGATTCTGGCTGGGCACGACGTGTTCATGGTCGTGGAACAACTAAGTGAAGATAGAAACTCAATTTTATATTTAGGACCGGACTAGCTCAGACCTCACTCACGTTGAAATTCTAGATGTTACTATGGTGTTATGCATGCTTTCAGCCAATGACGTTGGTGTTTCTGTTGCAATTCCTTGTGAGCCTAAGGGTAGTGATTAGGTTCATAATCCTGCCATGATTCCTGAACGAATCAGACCTAATATACTTGGCTACCTAGTTTATCAGTCCGTGAAGTTTTGAGAATCAACAAGGGAAGAGCTTTTGAATGAAGCTAACAAATAGAGGATGAACTCCTACTTTTTCCAGATTTATTTGAACAGCATGGACGTTAAAATAGGGCAGCAAGGTACTGACCTTGTTTCTAAAATTTTTATTGACATGAAGCTGTGGCAGGAGGGACAAATGAGGAGGTATCTTGGAGTTGTGTATTTTTGAGAGACACACACCCCAAAGTTTTTGGACTGACGTTAGGAGCTCTCAAGGCAATTACAATTATCAGTAGCCAACTGGAGTTTAAAAGAATGGTTGACGCCATTGTTACAGCAAGTCAACCAAAAGTTGAAAATTCACTAGAGTGCTTGAGGAGCCGTAATTATGCTAGTCTATATATAAGTGATAAAAGCACATGGCTGCTATGGTGAGCTAAATAGCATGCAATAATATACTGAAGATGGATAAGATATTTATCTACAAATAGAGACAAGGGAGCTTGTTGTATATGCAAAGATAAACTATGCGACAACTACGAAGAAGATGCTTAGCGTCCAGTTTCTGTCTGCTATTGTGCTGTTGCTGCTGCTGCTCCTAATAATTGAAGACATTGAAAAATTGCAGAATAATGAGTTATTGCTGCTGATTGAAGATGACGTGGGTGCTGCAGGACTAGTTGCCATGCTGAACCAAAATCAATCAGCATAGAAATTGGAGAACATGGAATTTATTCTAGTCCTTATTGTCAAGGGAAACACCAAGTATGTGAAGACTACTGCTAACAGAAACATTGATGCTATAGATAAGCATTGTGATATGTTTAAAGATTGTGGTATGAATACCACGGATGGTATGGTTTGTGTTGCTAGTGTTGTTACCGATTGTGTTGATAAAGTTAATGTCGTTAGGAGTGTTAACGATGCTGCCATAATTCATGGGGTAACATGAATGTTTTTGAGAGCAATAAGTATGAATTAAGGGGTGTTTGAGATGGAGGAAAGAACAAAGAGGTTGCTGTCATTGAGGACCAAAAAAACTTGTAAGTTGATGTTGACAAACTCGAAGGGAAAGAAAGTGGTGGTGCTGCTGAGACAATTCATAACATTTTTGGGGCTATTACTGTACGAAATTTAGGTGAAGTTGCTATTACAAAAAGAGAAATAAAGCTAAAAAATCCAGCCGAAGTTGTTGACTTTGCCAAATTGAAGACTAGTGCAAACAATGATAGAGATGCGAGTAAAGAGAGGCAGCGGATTGAAGTTTCTAGATTTCGAACTAAAGCAAATTATAATAAAAGAGACTTAGGATAGGTAAATATCAAGAAAGGGCAAGTATCAAATGGCAGGTTTATTAAGTTTGATGACATAGATGGACCATTCCAAGTTTCAAAGAGGATAAGTGAGCATACATACAATATAAACCTATTTGGAGATTACCTAATCTCAATTATTTTCAAAGAGAAAGACATTTCATCATATTTTGGAGAAGAAGATCAAGATCAAGACATCGAGATTGACTCTTCTTCAATTTAGAAAGAATGATGTAGATATTACTCATTTGGATTATGTGTGGATTTGGGCTGATTAATTAGTCCTCATAGTTTTTAGATTTCCTCTTTATTTAGGGACATGGTTGAATATATGTCCTAGATGGGGTGAGTAGATCTTTGTGTGTTATGAATTCTTATTTATTTAGTTATTATTTAATTATGAGTCCATTTAATATGTCAATCTATATTTAATTGGCTAACTTAATTAGGTCTTAATTAAATGTTGGTCGCATAAGTCTAAAGTTATTTGGAAAAAGAGAAATCCGACCTAGAAGAGGAAACTTAACCTTAGTCGAATCTTTTAGGGTTTAGGGAGTGAGTATTTACACATACTTTGTGATTTTCTTTGGTAAGGATTTTTAATAAACTTTTGAATGAAAAATTAGAAAATTTTCTCTATATATCTTTGCATATTTCCTTTGCTTGGATGGGCTAGGACATCGTGAAACACATCTCTAGAGTGATTGACTAAGGTGAGCTTAGCTTAACAATTGTGTCAAGTAGACTCTTGGAGAATGTATCTCGTAAGTACTCTCTAAATCATCTTAAATTATGGACTGTTCTCAAAGGAAAGACATTGACGCTTACACTTTATTTATTTAATTGTTAAATTGACAATTGACTATTATTTAATTGTTAAATTGACGATTGACTTGAATTCTAAAAGCTGAATAGTTTTGGTCTCAAAGATGATAACCAAAGATAAGAATTTTTTCTTTACTCTTAAATTTTGAAAGTTTGTTATTAAGAGGTTTTTTTTTTTTTTTTTTTTTTTTTTTTTTTTTTTTTTAACTCCTGTGAAAAAAATGAGAAAAAATAAAAATATTTTTTTGGGTTTTTGAGTTGTTGAAATCATTGTAATTTTCGGATCCTATTATGTCTAGAATTTCGACCTACTTAAATGAGGATCTATAATGCTTGGATTGAACTATAATTTGGTGTACATGTACCTATAGACCTTTTTTATGTTTTAGTAAAATTTCAACCTATTCTAAATTGATTTTCTTCGGCAACACATTAACCTTAGTTGGCGAGTTACGTAATTATTGTTTGGTGATTTTGGGATTTTGTTTATGTTTATTTTTGTGTGTATGTTTGTTTTTGGAATGATTATGATTAAGGTTTGTTTTGTGGTTTTTTTAGGTTGATTTGAGACTAGAGTATTTTGGCATAGGACTATTCTTTTAGTGCTTGTGTATTTGAACTTTCACGGAGTTTGACATCTTTTGATTTGACATCAATTACATTTCTCTAATAAGAGAAATGTGCTATTTCAATATCCTATAGCAAATTAAAGACTCGTATAGAGTGAGTAACAAAATCTTAGACCTATGCCTATTTGCATTTGTGGAGCCATGAGGATAATGGAGGAGATGCTCGAGGAAAAAAAGTTTTTGATTTTTTTTAATAGAATTAGATGATGCTTACCAAACTGTTCGGTCTCAAATCTCCGGCATCAAATCTTTATTGGGGCTTGGCAAGGCCTATGCTATGGCTACTTAAGATAAAAAAAATATAATATTATTAATGCTTCTACGCCTACTATTGAGACCACAACTTTATTGGCCAAAATATCATGGACTTCACATCATAGATTAGGTCGCACCTAGATCAAACTATATATTGCACCTATTGTAACAAAACAAATCATACTAGAGACACTTGTTATATGTTAAATGGTTACCCACTAGCTCGGAGAAAACCCAAGGCATGATCTAAATAGTCGCGATCATATAGATCCTAATGGCGAGTAACAATCTCGCATGACCACACCATTTACCTTTATGAGTATTGCGGGATGAATGACTTCGAAAGTTTTATTGGATAACTCTCTTCCATGCCACAACATGTGTCAACCCATTTAAACTCTCTAACAATGAAGCCTTGACTTAGTTGCATGCATATCCAATAAGTGAGCCTTTTCTTTTTTTGATCCAGCCCATTACGTAGGATAGCATGCCTTCATCACAACTTAATTGTAGTGGTCTAATTAGTTCTTCATCCTCTAGGCCCTCTAGCAAGTTCATTAACTCATTCTACACCATTTACAACTATCTAGGTCCAGTGACTACTTGTTCCTTTTGGGCTAACAATCTAAAGCTAGCCCACCATTTAATATGATTATGCCCAACTTTTTTGGTAAGCGGAATCATGGATCGTTGACGTTAGAGCTATTGATCATATAGCTTGCAACACTAATTTGATGACTAATGTCCATCCAAATCTAATCATTCCTTCAATTCAAATTCCTAATAGAGATTGTATTCTGGTTTTGCTCTGAGTCGAGTCAAGCTTGGCCATAATTGAAGTCTTAGAAGTGCCTAATTTTTGTTTTAATTTTCTTTTAGTTAGTAAATTGACTTAGGATCTCAAATTGTTTTTTAGTTTTTGGATTTGATTTTTGTGTGATACAAGGCTTACCTTTAAAGAAGTTGATAGGAGAGGTAGGGTGCAAAATAATTTATGACATTTGGAACCAACAATGCCAATGAAGGTACTTATATGAAAGGGACATAATGTAATAAATTTATGACATCATCATTGTCGACGTCGGCCATCGCGAGAGGAGGGGGCCAAATCAAAGGAGTCACCACCTAGCTAACCAGGGAGAACTAGGAAACCCTAAACATACCGGTCTACATAGATATCCGGATAAGGGGTCGGTTACATAAGGAGAAGACATGTCGTCACCACCATCCCGTCCTACCTAAGGTAGGCTGCATCGTTTTTCTATTAATGTAAAAACCTAGTTTTTATCATGTTATGCTTTTATGCCTATTAAATGAGTTTATCTTGTAAAAATATAGGATATGATGGCTTGGATATAAAACGGGATAGTTTGAACATTCGAGCCGGTCCAAGGCCGATATGTCCTACCCAAATGAAAAATAGGTAAAAAATGAGAATTTCGACTAGCCATTAGCGAACATAACCTATTATTGACAATAGGCAAGTTTCTAAAGATAAATAGCCTTTTATTGGCATGAGCTACGAGTCACCGATGACTTCGCTCACACAAGTGGGAAGCTATCGACGACTTCGAGTCACACATTTAAGAAGCTATCGACAACTTCGATACGAAGTGGGAAGTCATTGATAACTTCATGTCGCTCCGGTGAGGAGAAAATAATTATTTAGAAGCCACCGACGACTTCGTCACATAAGTGGGAAGCCACCGACGGCTTCATTGCGGACAAGAAAGACATTAAATGAAAAAAAACTATTTTTGAGGCCATTGGTAGCTTTGTTTTGATGAAATAAATCAATAAGAATGGAAAATAGGTAACAAGGATTGAAAGCAAAAAAACAAGGAAAACAAGCGTTACAAAACGAGAATCGATCATAAATTGAAGAAATGTGACCACGTTGATTTGAAGAAATATGACCGACCACATAATGTTGCGGGGACATGACCGACCATGTTAAGTGAACATTCATTTGAAAGGACGTGATCGACCACGTTCATTTGAAGAGATGTGATCGATCACATCGATTCTGCGGGGACATGATCGGCTATGTCAACTTAGTAAGAAAACGTAATCGATCACGCCGATTTGGAAGGACACGACATACTTGTGTTGACCTAAAAGGAAATAATTGGCTAAATTGATTCTTAACTTTCCTTCTCTTTGTTTTTGGCAAAGTACAATTAACTATCCGGGTTTGACTTTATTGAAGTAATCTTGGACAAGATAGAATTGGTCTCTTGTGGGTAGGACAACTAGGTGGAACTATGAGGTTGTTGTTTGATATGCATTCTCGACTTGTAAATTGTGCTTCTCATCGTTAGAAATATAAGCCATGACTATTCAAACCACACTTCCTCTTCTTGCTCGGTGGCACCTTTGTTGTCCGCAATTGAAATGCAAGGCTAACTCGCCCTTTCTCTCTTTTTTTTTTTTTTTTTTTTTTTTTTTTTTTGAGTGCCTATTCGTGCATCCATTGATTTTAGGTCGTTTGATCATGTTGACACCATCCGACTAGTGTTCAAAGACATGATGACTCTCCCCTTTAGCCTATGTTTTGCTCGTTTTATCATCATGTTTGCCCCTCGTGTTAATTCCTTTAACGTATTGGAATTGCTCGTGGTGCCCCATGATTTGCATTCCAAATAGACACGATTTGGAAGGTCCTGTCAAGCTAAAGGCTTTTGTAAACC